ATACAAATATGCAATCCTAAATAATAAATCAAATTATATATTTATACATAACTATGTATTTTTTGTTTAATATTATAGGAATATTAGATAAAAATACCCATTGACTATAATCATAACAATAGTACTGTAGACACCTGATTGTGTCTCCCCAAAAATCAAACCCAGTGATGAGTACCTTTCACGTCTTTGATTATCGAGTTAGGTGAAGAGTTGAAGAGTCTCGTGAATTTCCTTTAGCCTTAACCATTTCTAACCTTTACTTAAATGTTTTAAGCCAAAATCATTTATTTCGTGCCTTTAAACCCAAAATCATTTATTTCGTGCCTTTAAACCCAAAATAATTCATTTTGTGTCTTTGAAAACCATTCATTTCGAGTCCAATTTATAAAAACGTCCAAACCAGTTTATTTTGGTCCATAATCCTGGTCCAATAATTGCTTAGTTGGATGGGACTTGAATAGAGTTTTCCAACGATATATTATAAACCCAAATCCGAGTTATAACGAAGAAGTTATGGCCAAAATACTAAATCGAGCCCAAATCGAGCCTTACCTACGGCCCAATGATCATGTGGAGGGTCCATTAACCTTAACATCATTCCTAAGTCAATTAAGATTTATTATTAGCTTCTAGAATCCTCTAGAAGGTTCTAATTTATCTTGTTTTTTGAAAAGATAAAGATTTAAGAATTTTACTTCGGATAAAACACTTGTTTTTCAATGATTTTAATTTTGATAAAATTAGAATACGTATGGAAATTCGATTAACCCAATTTGATTTGAAGTCGGATTCCGTACGGATTCTATCTTCTAAAAGCATTGCTGAGCGATAGAAATATCACGCTGCAATAAGCCTATCGGGCGGCGATAAATCTATCGCGTCACGATAGAAACCTGTTTTACTCCGAGTCGGATTCTGACTCTTTTCTGATCTTCGACCCTCGTTTTTCCTATAAATTGAGGTCGTTTTACCCCATTTTGAGTCACCAACAATCATCATCTAATCCCTCTTTCTAAGCTAAAGCTTATTCTCTCTCTCTTTCTTTCTAGCCTCGACCTAAACACAACCCAACACCTTTTTATCATCATACACCATACCTCCTTCACGAGCTTCGAATACTCCAAGCCAACCTCGAAATTGCCTTCAACCTCGACGTGAAAGGTTGATTGTTCTAAGGGTTTGGTCTCAAATATATATTTCAATTATTTGATTTATTTGTTTGATTTAATCTTTCTTGAAGTTACTAATGTGTGTATTGTTTTGATAGAAAGTGATACGAGGCATCAAAGTAAGTAGATCTACTATCCTTAATCCTCGCTTTTGATATAGATATCATGCTTAGAATATTATTTCAATTCCTAGTATTATGTTAGGATGTTTTTATGATTTCTAGTACCATGTTAAGATTATTATTTTAATTCCTAGTATCATGTTTAGGGTGTTAATTAATATTTCTAATATCATGTTCCTAGTATCATGTTTAGGATAATGCTTTGCTTATGATTTTTAGTGACATGCTAGGATTTGTTATTAATCCGTTTAGTATCATGCCTAGGATCTTGCTATTAATTATGTTTTTATGATGATTATTGTGTCAATAATTATTATGTTGCTTGATTATTCATGATTTATTGTTATTGCTTGATCACGCCCTTTCTTGCAGGTTTAAAGGGAATTTGTACTTGAAATCACGCCTAATAAGATAATTAATAATTTGATGAATTAGGCTAATATGATTTTAATTCAAGTGATCGTCAATAATAGATTTATTTGTGCATTAATAATCAACTAACGTAGATTAAACAGGTATAAGATTAATTTATTGTATATATGTTGATCGGAAAGCGCACATGAATATCATAAAAATTAAGTAGAGGCCGATTTAGGGCGGGTTCAATCTCTTTTAGGTTGGATTCGTACTATCATCCCCGAATATCCAGTCATGGTTTCAGACCATTATGGAGTTAGCGATCTCCGTGATCGTGAATGAGGTGTAACCTTCACACCTGTGAACGGTTTACAAGTTCCCAAAACTTGTTGGCGACTCTTTTATCACTAGCTTCCTTCCCTTTGGACGCCACCATGCTTAACTGCATGATCACAATGGGGCTCAAAGTTGATGTTTGATATATTTCCTACAAGTACTAATAAAACAAAAATTAAATTCTCCACCATTCACCAAAAATGAATAAAATTATCAATTAAATAATTACCCATGTGCCTATCAACGTGTGGGACTAAAAGTGTATCGCACAGGTATTGACCTAGATTTTATTGTTATAATATATTGTATATAATGAAGTTAGTTTTATTATGTTCAGTAATGTAATTCATTTTTAAAATTAATTATTGTAGTAATAACTAAACATTGTAATTCGTAATAAAATTTGTAAAAATCGTGCATTGTACGGGATTTATACTAGTTATTAGTATAAGTGTATGTACCCTTAGCAAACAAGTTAATTGCACTAATTGATTATGATTTGACCTAATTTGAGCCACTCAAATCTGTGTTTGCGTGTTCAAGTCTTGCGTGAAATTGTCTCACTATAAGGTTTTAATATATGCTAAAAAGTTCAATTAAAAGTTTCTTAAAATTAATTAAAAAGAATTATTATTCGTTTCAATAGTATTTCCGTCGTTAAGAGTTTTCCTTATAAATTCGACACACCTAATTAAACTTTTACAACATTTAATTATATCTCGTGCAATGCTCAGCTCAATGCCTGGAGATCTAATTGACCTAACTAGATTCGCCCTCCATTCCGTAATGATTATTATTTCATTTTCCTTTTATTGATTATTTTCAATCTTTGTCATTTTCAGCAACATATTTAATTGCGTATTACTAACATAATTTTAAACATATAATATTTTGAAACTGCAATATCGAGACAAAATTAACAAAATCTCACAAGATTAAATTTTTCTTTAAACCTTCCTTCTATTCAAATGAAATATTATAAATGAAACAATCACAACAGAACAAAGTGCTAGTAAGAGAAAAGGGTTCCATTCATACAAAGCCACTACAAAGGGGTGTAATTGGATATAAAAGTGTATTTCGGTCGTTAAAAAGTGTAATCGCCACTAGAAAGATCAATAGGCAAATAATTTCATAAAATAAAATTCAATTACTTGAAGTAAAACCAAAAACAAACAATTACATAATTTATTTTATGTCTATACAATCAATCAATTACTACATAATTGATATTTATTATATATTAGTAAAATTGATATTGTTTTATACTTTGCATTAGTAATAGTATTGATGCTTATATATCAACGAAGAAATACGGTCAATCGAACTCAATGATCTACCTTTATCCTTTCGTATTTACAAATTAATATATTTAATTTCATATAATATTTTATATATAAAATTTCTATTCAATCAAACGGAGTATATATATGTGAGAAAATCGTAATAGATAGTTAAAATAGATAATTCTTTAACCTATCACACGCATCACGTGCATTTAGGGATAGTGCTTATAAACCATTGTCCCCATACATGTCAAAATTTGAAACGGGTCACTTTTGGGTTAGCCCAATTCGGGTCGGTTTTTGACACCTCTGAACCCCGGTTTGAACCCTAGCAACTTGGTATATATATAAGGTCATTTTATTACATGCGGCTGTCTAAAAGCTTCCTACATTTCATCTCATTCTTACAAGCAGTGAGCAGTCTATCAAGGGAAGAGAGAGAAAGAGCGACAAAACCAGTAAAGCACGTCCAATTGATCACCTCTCTAAACGGTAATTTCACTCCATTTCTTTTTGTTGATTTTATAATTTCTGATATTGACTTCCTTTATTTATCCAAGATTCAATCTTTTTTTTTTCATTGTTTAATATTAGTGCGAAAATTTAGGGGCTTTTTAATATTAATGTCAAATTTCATTGAATTTTGTCAATTTAATCTCACTAAAATTTATGCATCAACGGAAAACAACATAATTAATTAAATGATTTTTGAGAATTCAAATCGTTGTTGTTTGATTAATTCGATTTTGATGTAATTTTGTAAAAATAATTGAAACCCTAACAAATGACGTGCATGTGTATGGCTTATATGTATTAGGGTTTTACTACAATTTTTGGTTATGGCTACTTATCAGATCTCTAGATGTCAATTTTCGATCGAGCCATTTAAATGTAGTTTATTAATTTATTTTTTTGATCTTGATCTACGGTAATTTCATTTGTAAATTGTAAGGTATGACTTCTCTCGTTCGTTTCGAGTTAACTGCTAGTTGTTTGTTTGTGGTTTTGATAAAATATGTCAATTGTAAGGCATTTGGAATTTGCCGTGATTAGCAAATTCAATTCAATTTCTTAACACTAAAGTATTCGTTTTTGTATTAATGAATTGAATTTGCTATAAAAATAAAGTAGTCGTCTTTGCCATGGCTGATGTTAGATTAATTGTAATTCTACAAAATTGTAATTTGATAAGTGTTCCAGTGTGCTTGATTTGTTTGGATAAAATCAATTTATACAAGGATGTGGTTTTGATTGCTATAATTGCGACAAATAAATGAATATCATTAATGCAATTCAATGGCCTCATAAATTATATTAGATGTTAACTAAACATTTTTGATATATAAAAAAAAGAAAAGAAAAAAGAAGCATATATATGTTAATTACTGAGTTCCTAAAGTGTGAACTTCGAGCCCTTTAATTTATTTTTTTTGATATAAGATAATCAACCTCGAATCCTCGATGAATTTGTTTAGATTCTATGTTAATCGTTTTTTTATATAGATAGATCACCTGTAGTTGCTTAATCGATGCTTGATTATAATATAACTGATTTTGAGCTTAATGACTATATACCTATTTAATTATTGTATCTTTCCGAAGATGGATCTTTTTCATATACTTAATTTTTTGTGTTGTATGTGGAATTCTGAAGGAACGAGATCTGGCTAGCTAAATTATTATTTTTGTTGAACATCTTCATCATAGGGTGAAGACTACTCTCTCCGATCATGGAATCAGACAGTGATATGACTATAAGCGACCGGGAAAATGCTGGAGAAAGTGAGGATTGGGAGTTAGAAGGAAGCGAGGATTGGGAGGCAGAAAGCAGCGAGGAGGAAGAGGATTGGGAGGTAGAAAGCAGCGAGGAGGAGGATGAGGATTTGGACGTAGAAAACAGCGAGGAGGAGGAGGAGGAGGAGGAGGAAAAGGAGGAAGAGCGGGCGAAAGGAAAGGAGAAAGTAGAAGGCAATGATCGGATTAGTGAATTACCAGATGCAATAGTTGAAGACATACTATCATATATGCCAATGATGGATGCTATAAAAACGAGTATATTGTCTGAGAGGTGGCGATGGTCATGGGCCTCCATCACCAAACTCGAATTCCTTTTTTAAGAGTTCAATGACTCTTTGCTAATGTTTAACGAGTTTATAATATCAACCATGATGCTCAACAGGTCTCGTAAACTTCATAAGTTTGTCTTGAGATCAGATTACACAACCTTTTTGACTCCGACAATCAACTCCTGTCTTCATCAATTGGTGCTTAAGCATGTCGAGGAGCTTTGCTTGGATTTCGATAGTTATCAGCTTCCTAGCTTATACTTGCTGCCGCCAGAAATTTACTCATGTGGATCGATGAAAAAATTAAGCTCAACTCTTTGCCAGATATTTCCTACTGCTACTGTGAATTGGAGAACACTCCGAGATCTTTCTATTGCGAATGCTTTTCTCAATGATCATGTGATTCAAATGCTTCTTGTGGGCAGTCCTCGACTGGAATCACTGTTATTAAGAAATTGCGGAGGGTATAACCATATCAACTCAACTACTCTGAGAAGACTCGTAATAGAGTATTATGGAAATGATCCTGATCCGACGACATGGCTAGAGATTGATGCTCCCAATCTTCATTCATTGGAGCTTATAGGTTGTATGAGGATTAAGCTGCAAAGTTTGAGGAACTTATTGTCGGCCTTGGTGCATGTCACTCTTACATTCTCACTGGACGATGTTATCAATCCTGTTACAACCATTGATAATAATGTAGCCGATGTTTATCAAGACATGGTGAGCCGTCTTCTAAACAAAATTCGTCATGCCAAGTATCTTACAGTTGGAACATGGCCAATTCAGGTTAGTCTATCAACTTTATATTAGATAAAAATTGGAATCAAGATTTAATTTGCTGTATCTAAGTTGTTAGAGTAATTTTTTTTTTTTTGCTCCATGTACTAATCGATGTTCTTTTTTGAATGTTTTCAGACTCTCTCAACACTTGAATTACAGAAATTTCCTCCGTCCATTATCTTACTGTGTAAGCACTTGACATTGGATATCAATCTATGTGCAAAGGGATTCCCGGGCATCAATAGACTGTTAAGATCTTCACCCAACTTAGAGAAACTTGTTGCAGATTTGTCTGGCTTTCATGAATATGAGGTAACTACTGAATTTTCCTATCTTTTCTCTGATTGTTTCGTTCTTTGTCTACACGCGTTTTTCCTTTTTTTTTGGAAATGCAATGTATTTAATTTAATACTCATACGAGTACATGATAGTCTAATCTATATGGTATAATATTAAATGTTGGTGATATATGTGGACTTGTTTTGATTATGCAGGAATATGAAGGAGGTCCTAGGCATATATGGAATTTCAATGCCAAGAACTACTGGGAATCGAAGAAACTGCTATCTCATTGTCTGAAGACTGTTGAGATTATTGGCTTTACTCATAATGTGCTTGAAATAGCAAAGTTTTTGTTACAACATGCACAGGGCTTGGAGGCGATGATCTTCCGTAAATCAAAGGGCAATAATAGGCAGAGATATTTTGGCCAAGGGGATGATTTCTTTGGAATAATCAAGAAATTGCTGAGCTTTCCGCGGTCCTCACCTCATGCCAAAATCCTAATCGAGTGACTCTCTCTGTGTTATTGGCTGTAGACCTGTTGTTGTGTATCTTAGTATATATTCCTAGAGGACGGACCTTTTGGTTCACCAATCTGATGGGAATTCAATAATGTAGCCTATGAAGAACGAACAAGAGCAGATTCGAGCTATGAAGAGATCTGCGGAACCTGTGGATGACTTGCTACATCTTCAAGAGTTGATCTTACTGGTGTAGTGGTGTGTCTTAGTCATGTCGTATCATTTATTTGTCGAACTTTTTCATACAACTTTATTTATTGTTTGAAATTTTTATGTAGTCAAGGAGCATTGCATGTATACTGGATTCTATGAATGCTCATATTTGTGTATCCTCTTTACATGTGACATGCATGTTGTTGGGGTTACATGTAAAATTTAATCGAATCTTATTTGGCAATTTGTACGTGTCAATTAAATATGATGGATTTAATCTTGTTTATAACTTTTTCTGGTTTCTAGTTTAGCATTACTTGGGTATGCCTCTTTGGCTCTCTCAGCTAGAGTGATCTTGTTATCAAAGGCTATTTTGCTTGCTGTAAAAATCTTATCTTTATCAGTGCTAAGCTGCTTGTTTAAAATTGCCATGAATTATATTTTTGTAAAATTGACTTTAGCTTGATTATTCAAAGTTTACATGAATAACACCAAGGCCACCAACATCAGTTTTGTATGTCCTTTGCCTTTGAGGTTAAAATCGAATGACTAAATTTTCACGTACATATTAAGTATATCGAAGATTGAAAATCCTTGTTCGTAGGCCGCCTCTCTCTACGATTACTTAATTGCTATACTCGATGACCAAATTTGTTCGATATTTAATTTAATGGAGTTAGATACACTGATTAGGAATTAGTAGTGTATACTGTATAGTAGCAGTTAGATACTTCGTATAATATAACCTCTCAAACCATCATAATTTGCTTGGTAGTGTAGTCCTCTATCGAATGAAGCATTATACTTCGTATTTAAAGAATGCGCAGGGTTTGATTGAAATCACATTATCTGATCATAGGAAATTTCGCACTTAGTTATTCTTTTAACTAAATTTGGGTGATTATGCCTCTGTATGAGGCATTCCCTCATGATAGAATGGTTGCCCTATTTGTGCTGTCTACTCATTGGAAGAGTAGTAACAAAACTCAGGAGCTATCGCGCAGTGTTTTCCACTTCTAATATTCTCCTGGCCTTCTAGTGCATCGACATGTTTAGTATAGAGCTGCACAGGTTTGTTAAGCAACCTCTAGCAGAGATCACACCAATATTATTGCCAGTGTATATTTATAATCCTTCTCTTGTACAGATGTACGGAATTTCCTTCTATTTTTGGTTCTAATTAATTTTTTTTTTCAATGTTTCGATGCAAGTTCTCTCAATATGTAATTTAACTTGAACCATTTGCTTTCTTCCATACGCGGGAACTCTTGGTGTTTTGAGGATTGGAGATCGATATATAGACCTTTGCGAAGATGATTTTTCAAGCATCAATAATTTGTTATGGACTCGATAAGAAGGGTGTGCTCTTGTTTTCATTTAAAGCCTTGGAGATAGACCTTTGGAAGTACTTTGCCTCGTTTAGAATTGTTTACATGCATTGTGAAATTAATCATGTACTACTGCATTAGTCTTGATTAGTTAGGGCTACGTCTCAAATATATTGCAGTAATCTCTTTCTATACTGCTTTGTACTCCTCAGCCTCTTATCAACTGTGACAAGTAATCCTCGAATTCGAAGTAAAATTATTAGAGATGGTATAGTTCAATAATATTAGCACAATACCATATATATTTGGAGAAATAAAGGCACTTCTTCGTAATTAAGCTGTTCAATATTAAGGAAAGATGAGTTGCAACATCTATCTGACAGTAGTTGAAACTTGAAACTAGGTTTAATTAAGTGAACAATCATTATCATCGGAATGGATGATATTGATTTCTCCTACAAATTTATGTACATATACAATACAGTTACCATTGCTTACTACTATCACTTGTATTATCAAACAAACTGTGAGACGTAGAATAATAAAGACATACATACATAATAAATTGTATATATGTTACTATGTAACTATGTTAGTCCGGAACCACAAAATTTCTTTTACGACTGCAGCCTCTTTCTTAATGCACTTGAGTTATTCTTTGCCACTTCTTGTATGACAGTTTATTTCCTCAACATTAGCTTAGGCTTTGTCTCAGAGTCTCAGACTCTCAGTGCTTGCTGGTGGCATATTTCCGAGCATAGTTAGAGGAGTGGGGGCCCAAATTGTATCTCGGCTTCCCACTAATTTATTTTAGGTTGTATGACTTTGTTAATTTTTGATTTATAATAATAATAATAATATAATTTTATATTAAAATAAATATAATAATATATATGATAATAATAATAATTATTATCATTATTATTAGTAGTAATGTTTATTAATAATGATTAATAATATTTAATATTAGTTATTAATAGTAAATACAATATATTAATAATAATAATAATAATAATAATAATAATAATAAATTTATAATTGAAATTATTAATATAATAATACTATAATACTAATATTAATAATATTTATAAATAATGATAATAATTAATAAAATTATAATAATTAATAATTATTAATAATAAATATATTTATTATAATGATAATAATAGAATAAAATTGAACTGAACTAAATTGAAATTTGCTGAACTGAACTGAACAGGTCTAAAGTCCAAAAGAACAAGACCTACATGACCTTCACTTCTGTTTATTACCTTCGTTAAGTTTTAGTTGCAACTTTTACTATATTTGGATCCTTAGTATTAGTTGCAACTTTTCCAAATTTTTCCCTTTTTGGTAAATATTTTTGATGGAAATTGTTTCGGGGTTTTTTGATGTCCTGCGGGAGAGTTACAATTCCGAGACTGGAACCGGACGCCTGTACCTGCAAAACAAACGGATGCTCCGGATGATTGGAGATCCGCCTCCAACGGTCAAGTTAGTACTTGATTAAGGAGTAATTAATGCGGAAAATAAATGTAATTTGGTCTCTCTAGGTGAGAGTGTTAAATGTGCGTAATCCCCTTTAATGAGGATTAATGGGCATATTTATATGCCTTGGGATGCGTGCCAGTACTAGGTTTAGGTTAAACCTAAGGCTGACTAGGCTTCCCACCAAGATTGGGCCTTGTTAGCTGATTTACCTATTTGGCATGATGGACACGTGTCACATCACAATTGGTCCATGGAGGACGTATCTCATGATGACACGTGGCAGGCTCCTATTAGCCTACGTGAAGGACACGTGGCGAAACCTGGCTGGTCCACGTGTCGGATGCTGATTGGTGGATAAAAATCCCCTAATCATTTGCCCCTCACAGGTGGCACGCGACTGGTCACGTGTTACCTGTGACAGGTGTCACTCAGCGAAAGGCCGAGAAATTTTCCCGCCCAAATTTTGAATTTGGAAGTGACCCTTCGCCTTCTCATTTTGCCTATATAAGGGTGTGTTGACTTCAGTCATTTTCACACTTGAGAACTTTTTGAAGAGAACATTCGGACCCCTGAACTTGCTCTGACATTCCGGACTCTTTCTGCCTACCGCCTGCTCTGACAAGCCGGCTGCTCAGAATTTCCAGAACCTCGTCAACTTCACTCGTTCAGGTAACCGTCGATTCTCTTACTCTTAATTTTTTATTTTTTCCTTTTTGAAATGGCACCACGGAAGCACACGACACGACCTAGATTAGTGATCAGCCGGTCACCGGGGACGGCTGAATCTAGGACTAGGAGTGTCGCCTGCCCTTTTCCGAACCACTCTTTGCCCTTTATACAAAGTCCGACTGTCTCTGTGTCTATGCAGAACATAATGGATAGAACAAAAAGGACTGCTATGATCTCAAACTCAACGGCTCTTCCCACCGGGTGCCGATTAGTGAAACATCTGACCAGGCGCCAGATGCCGAAATTAACCAAGGCGGCTTGACCGCCGACAGCTCTGAGGGAGGGATCAAGGTGGTCCCCTCCCATTTTACAGTTGACATGTCTACATTCTCTCCTACTCCTATTGAAGGAGAGGAGGCGGGTCCCTCTAGGAGAGGGGAAGAGTCGTCCTCTTCGGGCTCGTCAGAGGACGAGTCCGAGTCTAGTTCTTCTGGTCATACTTCTCTAGACACAGAGGAGAAAAACAACCGCCTACAAGAGGCGAGGCTTTCTCACGCAGTTGAGAAGGGGGACAATTGGGCAGAGCCATCCGCCTCTTACCGAGAGCAAAATACCCCTTACTACTGCACTGTCCCACAGGGCCGGATCAAGGCCATGCAAGAGAGAGAGGGGAGCTTTATTGCGAACCACACAATGGGCCCCGGCTTTTTAGTTTTTGTGCCGGATCCAGAAGACACAGTCGTCTGGCCGGCTGGTACTAGTTATGATAGCGCCTGCTTTGGCTGCTACGAGGCGGCAATCAGGGCTGGGATGCGCTTCCCACTACATCCGGCTGTTCAGCGGATCTTGGATGGGTATGAGTTGGGGTTATGGCAGTTAGCCCCAAACTCCTGGTTCAACGTTCTCGGCTATGTGGCCGGGTGCGAACTGCACGGGGTGGAGCCAAACTTCGAGGCTTTCGCCCATATGAACTACCTCAGCCGGACCCCTAAGGCAGGCGGTTCCGGCTGGTATCAATTGACGAGCCACCGTGGCTACCTCATGACAAGAGGTAAAGAAAATAAGTGGAAGGATTGGCGAAGCACCTTCCTTATCATTGAAAGTTCAGACACAGAGCTGAACAAGCGCTTCAACAGGTGGAACAGGGATCCGCCTCTTCTCGCAGGCGGCCGCAGCATGCCGCCTGTTCCCCCCAAAGCCAAGAAAGAGATCCTGGATAAAGGACTCTTCAAAGTAGAGTCGAGGGTCGACTCTACTACAGGGGTGCGAGAGCAAGTACCCCTGCACTGCGTCCCGAGCTTTAAATGGCTCTATGACGAGTACTTTTTGGCCGCCTGTGGCCTCAGCAGT